TATAACGTTGCAGTTTCATGCATGTCAAACTTTGATGTCATCAACGAAAGACCTGAATGCATAATATTGCACAGTTAATAATATCACTATTATTTAGTTTGAACAGTGTTTTTGATTGTCTTCGGGGCAGTTTCTATCGCTAAAATGCAGCCATTCATCCGGTGTTGCAATTCTTTGAATTATTGTGATTGTAACTCCATCTCCAGTACCATTGCAAATAGAAAGTACTTGAGTATCAGCCTGACGAATAACTGAAATCTTTGTTCTTTTATCAGCAAGCTATTCTCAAAATTTGTCTTGCAGTTAAAGAAATGATAATTTTCACCTTGATGCATATTTACACTTCCTGCATTTTTCTCATCGGCCTGTTAGCTTGAAGCTATCATAGACTTTTATCTTTTTTGGATTATTCGAAGAATGTGTGTGTGTGTGTGTGATTATGGCACAGCCTCGAGGGCTATCTGCCTAAGGGAGGGATGCCTTCGTGGAGGACTTTCTAAGGGAAACTGGATCGCATATATTCGAAGAATGTAACATCGTTTTACGGAAAGACGTAAGGTTTTAGCCCTGGAGTATTTCTTTCTTGTACTCCTTTAAAAAACTTCTTCAGAGAGGAAAAAACTGGCAACAATTTATGCCTTAAAGGTGGCATTGCTTCTGTAGAAATATATTTATTCCTCCCTTTTTTGCTAGTTGCAGCGAGTGCATGTCATATACATTACGTTTAATTTGTATTTACCAGTACTTTCAAGAATGCCTAATACCATGCCTTTTCCATTCGAAATTCATGTAGTGTTTCGGTAAAATGGATGTCAATTTAAGTGTAAGCTTTGCCAAATTTTGGGCTTTAGTTCTAAAGTATTCAATATAAATAATTTCTTAATAAAACTCCAAATAACTGAGCTGTAAGATAATTTAGTTAGTTGGAATTTTGCTCTCTTAGTTACAAATATTTATGTGCTGATTTCCATACTGAGTCACGTTAAAGCTCGGAATCGATTCTTGATAACATTAAGTTTGGTACTTATATATTTGATGCTAATTAAAAAAGATGCTTAGTATTTTAAATTTTATATTTTGTGTTATATCTGGTCTTCGGTAATTTGGAAGTGTTAAATAAAAGAGTTTATTCAAAAACGAATAAAAAAGTACTTTTATGTAATTTTGTTCTGTTTCAATTTAAAGTTACTTAAAGTGCTTGCGAAACTCAAGAAATGATAAAAGGTCTAGAGCAGAAGCAATAAAAAGCAAGCATTTTTCAAACTGCAGCATTAGCGCAATCGATTTTGGCATATGATAAACGCATAGTTTGCCGTGTCAGTAAAACGTTCAGTTACTTACAAAATGCGGACACTTTTTAAAATGTGTTTAAAACTTCGTGTCTTTAGCTTTTTCACATCCTTCTCATTGCTTTTAATAGATGAAAGCACCTAATTAGGCAAAATAAATTATTTAAGAGGTAGTAATGAAAAATTTATTTGCGAGCATTTAAAATTCTATGGCTTTCCGTTTATTGCTATAAAAGTTAGAGATAAAAGGCTATATCTGCATGAAACCACTTTTTTAAACACAAAACCTTTACTCATTATTTAGATAATTAGTATTCGGAAAGTATGTTAAACAAGGTAATCCTCAAGGGCACATCGATTTTTTTATATGAACTGCATCACCCTCTCGCATGCAGAAATGACTAATTTTAATTCTAGAGCTTTGCAGGAAAATTTGAATAATAAGTCTAAGCGTTTATTTTGAACAATAGTATTTGGAAAAATTTCGTATTTGTCTCATACATTTAAGATATTAACTTAAATTGTCATAGGTATAGTAACATAGTGCACTGAAATAATACACTAATCTAATTTAGGAGAATATATTGTTAGATTTTGCGTTCAGAAAGATGTTCAGAAGGCTACATTAAAAAAAATATATATATATATAATCATATTTTTTCAAAGGAAATGTTAATAAGCTGCGTAGTAAACGGGTTTTAAGAATACATTTCACGTTGCAACGAGCACACATTGTCATACTACTGTCGGATTAATTAATCGTGTCATAGAGAAGTCAAACAGGCAGTTTGAATTATTATAGTTCTGTTGGAATTATTCGAAAACACGGATAGCAATTGTTCGCAAAGGTCCTCAGCCATGGATGGCTCAATATTTTTAATATAAATGAAACAAAAAACTACACTGTCTGGTGATAAAACATTTTATCATTGTCAATCTCATTTACTTTAGTGATTTGCAATGTAATATTTCTTGGGAATTATGAAGCTACTAATTATAGATGGCTTTTGTATCACAGGATGTCCGTGCAATTGTTTTAGTATCACTAATAGAGGTTCTCATAAATGATTCTCCAAAATTTCGAAAAGGCTATAACATCGAGTAGTTAAGTCGAGTGGGTGCCGCACTAGATAATTCACAGCAGCATTTGATAGTATAATTTAAAACACTCAGACGTGTTCAGCAGAATACTGTACGATGAAAGTGGATAATAGATTCCCTAACATTCAAGTTCCTCATTCGATGGGATTGGATTCTTAAAGAAAGTTTGACTTTGCAAACTGGCTAACACGGAAAGATGTGTGTGGCTGTAGTGTCTGAGACACTCATGAAAATGCATGCATTTCAGGTATTTGCTCTAGCAACTGCTCTGACACTGGAAAACAGTTGAAGTAATGTGATGCGAAGGGATGCAGTCCCGTCCTCCTGACAGACTTTACGTCGCCGCATGGCCTTTCTATGGGCTGAGCTAGAGCTCTTCAGAAAGAGCAGCCGAAAAAAAATAAATAACAAAAGAGAACTCATAAAATACGACCAGGAGGCACTAATACATAGACTTCTGGTTTTTTTATAGTGCATGCACTGAAAAAGGATATTAGGTGGAAAAAAAAAGCTTTAGAAACTAAAAGAAAAACACTCAAAAGACTGACAAAAACACGCACCCACATTGCAAACTAACATATTATGCCTATTTTCTATCTATCTCGACATATCGATCTCTGGTGTTTTATATTTCATGCACTGATAAAGTATAGTAGGAGGAAAATAGAGCGTTAGAAACTAAATGAAAACGTTTAAAACACTGACACAAATACACACGCATTCACATACAAATTAGCATATTGTGCCTATTTGTTCTCTGTCTTGACCTATTCTTGCTATAATTTTCTCTGCAATACTTTTCACTGCTATACTACTATAATTAAATGTTTTAAAGTCCTTGTCTGCCCCTTCTATATCTCTAGTGATAGCACACACTTCAACAAAATGACGAGCATCTCTCACATTGTATAACTTGCCTTTGTCATTATATTGAAGCTCAAACCTATTTAAAATAATAGCGAAAACTTCCATGGCCGATTAAAATTACATTAACATCTGTGCTTGAGATAGGCTTAGTATTTCTTTTAATTTTAAAATTATGCAGAGCATCTTTTTTTGAAGAGCCTTTCTGTAGCATATTCCAATTCTTGTAAAAATTATTTAGCATAATTCGAATGGTCTTTGGGTTCTGGAACCCGTTATTCCGGTATTGAAGTACTAGGCTCTAAAGCCGCTTCTTTAGCAAGGACAATCAGCCTTCTCACTGCCTGAATTCCCAGCATGTGCTGTAATCCAGCTAAGTCTAATTTTGTGTTTCTTAAGAAGGATTGTGTATACTTCTTTGGCTGTTTCAATGAAATTATTGGGCTGGTTCGCGATAGAGAAGGCCTGTAAAACCAAAACGAGTTGAAGTATTATTTGACCCAAAACAGTTGAAATACCATTTGACTTCTTTCGAGTAGCTGCAAGTGCCTGTACAGAACTTTGACAGAATTCTCAGAAACGTGATGCAAAATTGTATGTATGTAGTAATTTGAATCTTATTTGTGATATATGAAACACAAAATAGTTGAAACTTGCAGTCATGTCAGATTTAAATATTCTTTCCCGTTTTAGTAAGCTCCTGGGGCCGCAATTAACTTGGCACACTAATCATGCTTATTACGGAACATTTTCAATTTTGATATCGTTGCGGTAAGAAAAGAGCAGCTCATCAGCAGTCTAGATAGGTCTAGAAGCAGAAAGCAAGTGCTATGTATTCGAGACAAAATCTTAATTCAGAGCAAATTAGTTTCAATTTCGATATAGTTTTGATTGGCTACTAAAGAACTCTGTAATATTATTATTAGCTGCTAGAGTTTCAATTAACGAAATGTCGCCAGATTTATGTAAAAGTCATATGGTATGTATTAATCTGTGACTCAATTCAGAGAGATTCATTATAAGTAGTTTCTAATTTTAACCTCCCCCCCCCAAAAAAAAAATACCAAAACTTAAATGAAGAAGCTGTTACAAATTTAAGTCACAATTTTATATATCTCTTTTTTCTGAAATATTTATATTAATAAAGCAAATAGTCTTTAAAACGCACTTGTGTATTTTCAGATATCTGTAATCCATCTATCCCGCATGCAGTTCCTTTGGTTTTGTTTAATCGACTAAGGGAAAAGCATACTAATCTTATCTGCCTGAGAGAAGTTCTTGGAGGACTTTCTGAGAAAACTGGCTTATGTTCACAATACTCTTGGAGAAAACCAAGAAAAGTCTCATAGTGCTAAGTTTTTCGCTAGTATCTGCATTCATTTGCACTACTAGTGTACATGGGATTTATCTATTCCCTCACTGGCGGTCTTATAACACTAGAGATAACAACTAAATACATAAATATTTGATTCAAGCCGGGTTATTCAGAACGAAATAAATAACTGAAAATCTGAAAACACTTTTCCGCACTCATTTAATTTTGCAATTCAGAGGTAGATATTTAATTCAAATCTGATACCTTCTTTCAGCTATCCACAGAAATTTACTCACCACTTGCCTTCTTGTTTTTTGTTAGTTAACGAATAAGTTTAGATTTTACGTAGATTTTTTAAAATGATAAAGCATTTTCTCATAAATATATGATTGGTTAAAAGCATATAATTCTTCAATATAATAATTTTACAGATTATTTTAGAAGCAGCGCCCATGCAAGCTCTCATGGCGTCCGTCTATAATATCAGCTATATATTCGCTTCCTCTTCACATAACAATATATCTGGATCCCCATAACATCCAGGAAAGTATGTCTGTAAATGTGTGAGGCGCTTTAAGAAGAAAGAGATGGAACTGACTTTTTTACAGCGCATGAGGAATGCTTCATCATTTCAAGGTAGGATATTCATGTCTCCCGAATTTTCTCTATTTTAAGATAAAATTAGTATATCCCCAATTTCAGCATGATTCTTTATATTAAAATCACAAATCTACGTACCCTATGCCTTTTCCAACGTTCAGCCCTCGTTTCCAATCCTCAATGATATGCGTCGAATAATTTATCGATACATGTTAATAAGATGTTAACTTGTCAAGTGCAAGCAACGAGCAGTTACAAACATTTTCAACTGCGTATTGCTTATCTTAACTCGAACGCACAGAGAGAACAAAAACTTTACTGCTCAGTGATCTCTCGTAAACTGTTTTTAATTACTCTAATTTTCTAAATCATTATTTATAAACGTAAACATCGATCAGCTGAGGGCGTCCGAGCACCCCTCCCCCATATATTTTTTCTCTTCGCCTTTTTGAAATCTTATTAACCAAAATGCTGATGTCGCGGCTAATGTTGGAAATAAAACACAAAGTAACAATGAATACTAACTAAAGTAATTTAGAATCAAAGTACCCAACTCATTGCCTTAAAGCTAATTCATCTCATAGTATCTTCAAACTAACTTCAAAACAGTTGGCTGGATGCAAATCGTAAAATTAGATCATAATAATTAGGCTTATACTATCCTATTGATAACGTTTGAAAACTTAAGATTCCATTTCAAATTCCTTTACAAATCGTTGTCATCGACAGCTTCGAAATAAAGAATAATTAAACTAAACCTTTTGAGAATTTCCTATATTTTCCATTACTGTGTTTTATATTTTGGTGTGTTCCAAACATTTGGAGCCTTTTAGAAATGTGAGAACTAATAATGTTTACAGGTGAAGATATCCTAAGCAAAATAAGTTATCTTCATCATCCAGACACTTTCAGAAATTTAAATCCCAAATATACATAGTATAGCGAATATAAAAAAAATATGGCGACACTTAACACATTGTAAACGTGAACAATGATAATCTGACTGTGCCCACAGTTCACACTCTATAAGATTGTGTTGTGATATCTTATACAAAATATGAAATGAGTAATAAACGAATTCGAAATTCAAATTCCGGTCTTCCAGATGCACGTATTCGGATGAAGGACTGTGTTATTCAGAATCTGATGACTCTAGTTTCCGCTATTTTTTCACATTGCGGGGAACATTCATACATACACGCATATTCTACATTATTTAGTTTCTTTAAAAAATAATACTTAATAATATTTGATGGCAACAATTTTAAAAGTAACACGCTATTTATAGTAAACGAACGCATAACCCAAATTCAAAACCAATAGCCCCTTTTGGGCTAAAAATGTGGACGCGGAGTTTTAGAAGTCACATGCTAGATGTGAAATTCTTACGGTTTGTAATTTAAATACCTGTTAGAGATAATTGAAAATAAAAAGAAAATTGCAATACTAAGTGATCAAAATACATGATAATATAAACAATAAATAATGAGAATGAGAATGTTGTATATGTACTGACATCGTATGAAAACTGTTATTGGTAATTAAAAAGTCTGAAACCAGAAAATAATTGATTATATTTAATCTATTGACATGAAGTGACATTCAGTGGTATTTCTGTTAAAAGAAATTTGAAATATGTCGACAGGTATCAAGTGACTGTTTTAGTGACATACCGTGTGTAAAGTATAAATTCTATGTATTAATAAGTGTTTCAATTCTGAATCGCATATGTGATAGGTTGAACAAATATGTAGTGCTAAATTATAAATGTATCCAGTTGTGAAAATATACTGAAAACTTGCAAAAGTGCAGTGCTAATCCATAAATGTGATGAAAAAGTGTAAAATTGCAGTGATTAATTGTAAGATTTTAGTGACAAATCATGAATATTTTCGGAGTGAACGTCTAAACTCAGAGAGTGTTCAGAAAGTTATATGGTCTACAAATCGCAGTATTGGACAGAATTTTAGTCAGATCTTTTGGTCAGTGCAGAATCGTAATATGGAGACTGGTCTTGGTCAAATCAAAATTTTGCAAAATTATAGAACTCTTCCAGTGAAAGCAGTTTTGACATCTCAGTGATTTCGAATTTTAAAATTTCGGAGACGTAACAATGTTTCTTTCGTCTTCTTCCGCAGGGAATGAGAACAAAAACATTCACATTTGAACTTCTATTATTTAATCATTATCGATAGTGTTCAGTGAGTACATAAATTTTAAGCTAACCAGTTTTCCTTACAGTATATGTAAAAATTGGCCCGAAAGGTAGAATATATTGGAATATGCAAATGGTTAGTATTTCACGATATGCACACATAGGCAAGTGTAATGAATAATACTTCGAAACACTGTAAAGGACAGACTGAAATGCCAATTTTTCAATTAGGTTTGTCTTTTTTTTAATTTATTGAAGATGCCACGGTGGTGGTTTAGAGCTTGTAATCGCTAGTTGCACTGACCTCTTGGGCTTCATGGAGCCATTCGTTATTGGTACTGGAAACCAATTGCTTCCAGTCATTTCCGTGCGTAATTTTAATGGCAAGGTTTGACAACAGTGGCCATTTGTGAAGTACATGTTCATCTGAACGACGCTGCTAGTGAGTTTACCTGAGAACCTGAGCCATTGTGATCGCCAACTTGACGCCTTTACTAGTCACGTCAGAAAGAGCTGTCTCTGGAGCAAGTCACAAATTTGGATGTATTTCATGGACGGCGCTCAAAGCGCCTTCAGATGAAACTAGACTTAGGACGGACTTATGATAGTCCGGATCAAATTGCCATTAGAACTAATTAACTATTCGTGTAGCAACTTATCGCTAAATCTAGAAGATGAATACAACAGGGAAAGGGTGTATAAAACTCTATTATTGAACTCAGTTATTTTCAGATGGCACGGTCTTACATACTTACGATTTCACCACGCACTTATGGAGAGGAATTTAAAGATAATAGTTATAAACTAAATTTAAAGGTAACCTAGAAGTTAAAGACTACACAAACTAATTTAAACTAGCAAGCTGACTCATAAACCATTACCGGCGCGATATTTAACTTCGGTGATTTCGGTGATATTTAACGGTGTGATACTTAACTTCGTTAAGAATGCAAAGCCAAGATTCAGAATTCAGACAACTGGTAGAAACAACAACGTGCGCACTCTTTAGCGAAAACACGCTCTGATTAGCCTTTTTGCTACTTCAGTTTAATTACGCTGTCGTTCTCCCTAACTGATTTACATCCTGGCGAGGAAATGCGAGAGAAACAAGGAGTGACAGAAAAGACTAACAAATTAAAATAACTATTAGTAAAAATAATATAAACCTTGATTTTAGTGATCTTATTTTGAAAAATAAGGAACGAAATATGCAGTGTTCACAAAAAAATTCATTGATTATTGGGGGGGGGGGAAATTAACATTATTTGTTTCGAGGATGGAAATCAATATGATGTTAGCATTTGTTTCTGCGAATATAAACCAAAGCCTCGAAAAACAACTGACGACAGAAGCATCCAATGAAACGGGAACTTTCCCATCTTCGGTAGTAAATTCCTTCTTTTCGGTGAAGAGAGAACTCTCATGTGACCCACTCACCCAATGGTACGTCACTAGCACTCCTTCTGGCCAATATTCGAAGTGTGTTGGCGGGATGCCAGCCATGATTGCCGTTTGCCGCCGCCGAACTGCACCAACAAGCCTCTGTAGTAATAGTAAGGGTGCCACAGCGTACACATCCCGTTAATTTCTAATCCTGTATATTCGGCATTTTGACGAGCCACCATTATATTACTGAGTTTCTAATGTTATGTAATGCTATGCGTACTTTCTTTGATGTATTTTTCAACAGGACAATGCAAGGCCGTATGTTCTTCACACTGTCCTACATTTTCTCCGTATACAGAATGTCCCATTCAGACCATCTAATATCTGTACGGCGAGAGTTATCGCCTAGAATGCATATAAAAAAAGTGCCAAAAGTGCTTTGGAGGTAAATGTGAAAGAAACGAATGATGTCATATTCAGTGAAAGGGGGGAAACTTCATTGGAAGCATGAATGCCCTCGCATGCTTGCCTTGATATGCATAGTGGACATTTTGAACACCTTCCAACGTAGACATATGCAAATATCGATGTTCATGGTTCCAATGACGATTTTGCTTTTTACCCTTGCACCGAATATGACGTCATATTTTTTTTTCACATTTTTCTCAAAACTTATGCGTCATATCGGAAAAGTTTTTTAGGCACTTTTTATATATTTCATGCGAGTAATCTTGCATGAATTCTTGTTTTATTCTTGTTTATAAAGCATTTATTCTTGTTTTGCAGAGTATGGGCCAACTTGATAGGACACTCTGTACAAAGTGTTTAGCTTCTATCTTGCCTTGGGAAATCTTGAGCCTCTTACCAACTGAAATCATTTAGTTAATAATTTTAGAGAGACATATATCAAAACCAACTTATTTCTGAAACATCCTCCAGCTAATACAACCGATAAAATACGGCTCAAACTTCAGACATGAAGTATTAAAATATCGGTATTTACTATTCAGAATCTGTTAGAGTCCCTACCGAACCGCAGATTAGTGTTTCGTGTTTTTAAAAGCATATCTTCTGAAAGTCTCCGGGTGATGAAGATATCGACAATTGCTTGGGATATCTTGACCTGTAAAAATTGTTTCTTGCTAGAGTTCTAAGAAAATGTTCTAAACTGCTGGTTATTTTTTTTTTCTTTTTGACACTCGGACAAGAAAGTGGTTAATGCCTCTAACTGCCGTTCCGAAGAGCCTGGATTCGCATCTCGGAGAAAGCCATGTATGTAAATTGTCTGCACCTTTACAGGCGGTAACCGTGGTCTCCTATAAACCCTTTAACTGTCAAGTTATTTTGATGATTTGGGTACACAAATTGTCAAATTTTTTTATTTTAAAAATCAAATGTTTAGTACAAAATAAAATATACTTAAGTAATTAAAAATTGATATTTTGAAGTACATGGGTCAAATTTTTAAAGTTTTGTAGCCACTGCATATTTGCTT